GTTACAAAAATTTTAATTTTTAGCGGAAAAACATAAACCCTAAGTTCACATGCGCCCTAAAGGATCTATGTTTTCACTATTGAATGCAATAACCAACTGAATATCAAGAACCCTATAAGAACCCTTGGATTTTTGAAAAATCATAAAAGGGTTTAGTAAAACATACCTTTTGATTATACTAGTAGATAATTAAATAAAATCCTTCTTGAAGTCACTTGGAAGCTAGCACCAGAAATCTTGTGTCTCTGATGGTTCACACCCAACCCTAGCAACAAGGAGGCTTAAAGAGAGAGGAGGGGAGAGATAAAATTTTCGGCTTTGCCTTGTGAGAATGCGATGGCCGAAAATTAGATCCCTTTGGGTCTTTATATAGTTGAGTTAGGAAACCCTAGATAACCCTAATTTGAATGTTATATTAATATCTCAAATTTGGTAATTATTTACTCCCTAATAATCTATAAAGGATATTGTAGAAACCCTAGATTACCCTCTAAGAAATCGTCCCCCTAAGGAAGGAAGGTTCTGGAACCTCTTGCTCAACTATTGAACAATTCCAGTTAGACCCCTGCACTTTTAATTAATCCAATTAATCCTAAAATTAATTCTAATTAATTTCTGATTAATTCTTAATTAAATATTACTATTTCTAATTAATATATTATTTTCATAATATATTAATAAATTCATTTATTTTTATTTATTAATCATATAATAAATCAATAAATCAGTCTCTCTCTAAAAGTCATCTTATTCAATTACTAGGTTTAAGGGCAACCAAAAAGGACTTTTCTAATAATTCAAGTATATACTAATTAAGTTATTGACTTAAGCACATAATCCAACAGTTTTTACCACAAGTAATGAAATAAAGTTCTTTAAAATCTCATTTCCTACTTTATTTTATAACTTAGCATCATATTTTATAACACTTGGCATATTGAACATGATGAATACATTGTTTTTTAAGGTCAAGATAATCACTAATTATGTAGTGTTTGAAGCTTTGAATTGTTTATGTGAGTTGATATTTCACTATTAATAATTAGAAGATTTTTCATGTATTGTGTAAATTTTTTTTAGAACGGCAGATAATTTATTAAAAAACTAGCAAGAAACTAGAAAAATAAAGTCATCACAACAAATTACAAGCTAAGAGAGGATTATGAAGCCAAGAGCTCCAACTAATTTTAGCTTTTCTACACCTATTGGAAATCCAAAAAAAAGATCTATCTATCACTTCATCTAAAATGAAAGATTTCCTTGGTTGAGCCGTTCCAAAAATTGTAGAATTACGAAATTTCCATAAGCATCCTAAGGTAGTCAAGATGACCGTGTCAAAGGCTTGTCGTCGCCCTCTTTTTAAGGAAAGAGAATCAGACCATGAAAGGAGTTGATCAATAGAAAAAAGATGAGGAATTTGGATGCCCCACCAAACAGCAAGACGAGTCCATATCTCAATCAACTGATTACAATGGAGAAAAAGGTGATCAATAGATTCAACGGTATTGGAACAAACGGGACAAAGAATCGATTCTATAGTAATCCCACGGAGAGAAAGGATCTCTATAGTAGGAATACTTTGTAACTGCAATCTCCAAATAAAGATATTCACCTTGATAGGCACCCAATTATTCCAACGAGTTTCAGGACCCCCCGAATGTAACATATGACTATTCAAAAAAGCTCTGAGAGAAGAAACAGTAAAGGAATCCGAAATATCAATAGTCCACCCCAAACGATCCGGGATGGAATGAAGAAGAACCTCCTGCATTAAGGAAGTGAAAGCAGTCCGTTGAGTCTCCTCAATACCCCCTCTAGGAGTCCGCCTGAGACAATCAGAATCCCATCCAAGAAGCACTCTATCATGGACCGATAGAGTTTTATGAAGATCGAGAGCATAAATCCTATGAAAAGAAGCAGCCAGGGGGGTATCCCCCCATCCACATGTCATTCTAGAAAGAAGTCATATTCCCATCACCAACCCTAATAGAACAGAAAGGCCAGAGATCAAAATCACGATTATTAAGCTGCACCAGCATCCGAATAACACCATTCCAAGGACCAATCAAACCTCTTCTATGTGAGAGTGAGAGAGAGAGAGAGAGGGAGAGAGAGAGATAGAGAGAGCTGCAACCACCGTCAGGACCATAAAGAGCTTTGAGAATTTTAACCCAGATCAAATACGGATTATGAAAGAATCTCCAGCGCCATTTATAAAGCAAGGCTCGATTGAAGGAAAACAGACTGCCAATATCAAGACCCCCATCCTTTTTTGAGCTAAGACTCTATCCCAGCGAACCCAGTGCATGCATCTCTCATCTAATTCAACACCCCAAAAGAACCTGGCTCGAAGAGACTCCAAGGTGTTAACAACAGAGATCGAAACCATGAAGATAAACATCAAGTAACTGTCGAGGCTTCCAAGAACCGATTTGATCAAAGAGAGGCGACCTCCAGATGAAAGGCATTTTGTTTTCCAACCCGAGAGTTTTTAGAGAAAACGATCAACAACTGAGGACCAAGCAGAAATCCGAGACATATTCTGGCTAACAGGGACTCCAAGATGAGTTAAAGGACAAGAATCAGGAGCACACCCAACCTTACGAGATGCCACCTCAACCTGAGCAAAAGGAACTCCCATTCCAATCAACTTGCTTTTTTGTAAATTGATATTTAGACCCGAAGCTATATAAAAACACCACATGATACGAATGAGTCGGGAAACATTTTCTGGGTCCCATTTCGACATCAAGACAACATCATCACCATAAAACAAGTGTGAGATATCAATCCCACTAATATAGATGCCTCGAAACACGTTTGAAGTATGAGCTTTTAGTAAAGCTACATGAAGCCCTTCCATTACCAGAATGAATAAAAAAGGGGACAAGGGGTCACCTTGTCTCAGGCCATGTTGGATTTGAAATTCATCAAGAGGGAACCCGTTAATAAGAACAGAAGCCCTAGCAGATCGAAGAAGCTCCATAATCCAATCACACCACAACTTACCAAAGCCCATAATCTGCATAATCTCAAAAAGATACTCCCACGAGACAGAATCAAAAGCTTTCTCAAAATCCACTTTAAAACTCATAAGTGGATTATTCGTAGACTTACTCCAAGCAACCACCTCGTTAAGAAGAAAAGGACCATCCAATATTTGTCTACCTTTAACAAAAGCAAACTGCTCCAGATTAATAATAGAACCAATAACCTCCGCCAACCTATTAGCTAATAATTTACCAATAATTTTGTATTGGCAACCTATTAGACTAATAGGTCTAAAATCTCTAATATTCTTAGGGTCATGAACTTTAGGGAGAACTGTAAAGAAAGAAGCGTTGCAACCTTTTGGAACCAAGCAGTGACTATGGAAATGTTGAATGAAAGCCACCAAATCATCAGAAATTACATCCCAAAATCTTTTCAAGAAACCAAAAGAGAAACCATCCGGCCCAGGAGCCCGATCTGAACCACAATCCCAAACAGCCCTTTGTATATCATCACTAGAGAAAGGAGCTTGAAGAAGAAGAACGTGATCTTTCGTGAGAGTATGAAATAGATTAGGATCACTAGAAGGGCGTCTTCTTTTTTTTCTCAAGAAAAGATTTTTATAATAATTTTGGAACTCCTTCTTAACCCTCCCAGGATCCTCCTCCCAAACACCATCAATCATGATACCTCTTATAGCAAGATGACGCCTCTTCTAATTAATAATACCATGGAAAAAACCAGAGTTCTCATCCCCTTCAATAGCCCACTGAATTTTCGCTTTCTACGCCAACTCAACTCTAGAAAGATGATCTAAGTCCGTCAATTCTTTAATAGTCGAAACTCTTTGTTCACGAAGATCAGCACTACCCCCATCAAGTATAAGAGAAGCATCAATCTCTTCAACCTTATCTTGAAGAATTTTTCTTTTACAAATCAAATGATATCGACCACTAGAGTTCCATAATCTTAAGTTAGATTTAAGAAGTTGAAGCTTCTTCTTAAAAATAACCCAAGGATTATCAATCAAATTCCCAACAACATTGGAGTTCCAAGAATTATGAACCACTTCATCAAAACCTTCCAGCTCCAACCAAGAATGAAATATATGGAAAGGAGACGGACCATAATCCACACGATGCTCTAATAAGACAATAGGGCAATGGTCTAGGATATTTTTGTCCAGAACCAAACCCATAATATGAGGAAAACGCAACAAAAGACCTTCAGAGACCAAAAAACGATCAAGTTTGGAAAACTTAGATCCCCATCTATCTCTCCAAGTATAACGAGGCCCACCCATAGGAATATCAACTAATTCAGCCTGATCAATAAATTGATTAAAAGTTCTAGCGGGAATATGTTGGAACTGAGAACCAAACCTCTCAGACTCGTTTATGACTTCATTGAAATCTCCCATGACCACACATTCTCCCGAGAAAGAAGCAATCAAGATAGAAATTTCATCCCAAAGTTGTCTTTTACAATCATCTCTTTGGGGAGCATAGACGGAAATCAGCAAGACATCCATTCTAGAGACAGCCCAAACCCCCTCCACCGCCACATACCAATCAGAAATGATTACTTTATTATGACTAAAGATATTTGGATCCCAGATAACCAATATACCTCCCGAAGCACCGCGAGAAGGAGAAAAAGCATGAGAAAACACGAGGTTACCCCAAAAAGAACCAACAAGAGAAAGGTCAATTAGCTCCTTTTTCTTTTCTTGAACAACCAAAAAGTTAACTTTAAATTTAATACAAAGAGATTTTATCCACACCCGTTTCTCTAAAGAACCCGCTCCTTGAATATTGATAGATAAACAATTCATATCTAAATTTTTTTAAATCGCTCCTCTTGAATAGTATTTTTAACATGTTCAGAACAACCATTCATATTAAGACCAATAATCCCTCCCAGTGCAATTGTTTTTTGGATTCAACCACAATTGAGTCGATGTTAAAAGAACCTTCTAAGAACACTTTTTTCTCTCCATTAATCATATTTTAGAAACCAGGCAGATGAGAAAGAGAATCATCCGTAGATTGAATGCCCGACATACGAATGTATCCACCTAAAAAACCAACCGGTGCATGTTTATTAGAAGTATATGTTCCAATTTGAAGTGACCCAGAATTAGCAGCATAAGCTGAAGAGTTCTCGTAATTCACAACAGGAACTACTGTCGGGTTAGGTGAAGCAGCAGGGGCTACTTGCGGTTCTTCAGCAACAGCAGCCTGAACAGTGGCAACGACAACTAAGAGTTTAACATCCGGTCCAGGGGCAGCGGATGAATTTGACTGTGAAGCAACAGGAGAACTTGAAGCATGGCATTCAGCAAGAGAATGGTAAAAAGCATTTTCTGTTGCTGAATTCCCATTTTGCCCCTGAAGTCCCTCTCTATTATTTTTATACTTTTTGCCATTACCCCAACTATTAAATCCTTTTTGAATATCATTGTTGACCTCATCCGTTCTGATGGCACAAAGGTTCGATCCCATACTCTCTTTTCTAAATTCTAATGATCTATTGCTTTACTACTCAATAAGTTTTTACATGCGTTATTGGAAGTAAATTCAATCAACACCCACAAACCTCCGACATATCTCATTTTGAAAATTATCAAAACCCTCGTCCAAACAGAGCACCCGGAGATTGGGAAGTGTAGAAAAGTCTTTTGCCTTAACGGGGCATGCCCTTTGTTTTTTTTTCAACTATGAAGTCTCCAGAAGTAAGGTCAATAATCTCCTCCATGTTTTTACTGTTTTCTAATATCATTGGCTGAGCCTCGGACCACATTCGCATAGGACTTTACACTCACATCTCGATGAGACGATGTGGAGAAGCCAACGGTTTGGGGTGTACGGACATTGTTTTCCAAGGAACGAGGGAGGGTGGCAAACAGTTTATATTAACCAAACCAAACTTCACGAAGTTGTTTAATCAGAGAGTCGCAATTGCCAACGCCTGAAAACCTAATGAAACCAAACCGTTTCCCCAATTTTGATAGTTTTTTAGCGATAAACACACCAACTATCTTACCCAAACGATTACAAGCTCCACCACATACCCTCTGAATGTCTCCGACTTGAACAGAATCCGGAAAATTGGTGATAAAGAGAGAGGTTATATCTGACCTTACGTGACTGTTTCTAGAATCATGGCTGATATGTTGAATCCTACGATTTCCATGCACGTTCCTATTCCTGTGACTGACTGTCGTCCATGTATTGTCTCCCATCGTATTGAAGACGTGATTTCACCGATATTTGATCCCGCCGGTGAATAGTTGAGGATCGGAGGGTTTAGGAAGACCGAAATCGCCGGATCGCTTATAAATAAAGGAATTTTTCGATCTGTGTATTGTGCAAATTGAAAATATCTATTTAAAATTTTGAGAAATATATTATTAAAAATTATTATTTTATTCAATATAACTATAAAATAACTATTCTTTCCTTAAAGGGATAAATATATAAGAATAACTTTCATCTCACACTCATGAATAGAATTAAATATAATTTTCAATTTAACGTTATCTTTTAACAATTGTTTGAACATCCCCAATTTTGAATGTTGATAAATAGTTAAACAAATAATAGCTACTTATATAAAAAACTCGCATTAAAGATGTTAAACATTTTTAGTTAGAGCTTGTTTATGACAAATTACTATTTAATTGACAAACACTCGACATTATTAGAAATATAATATTTTTTTTTCACCATTCAATATATTTTGAGTGGTGAGTTTACTATTAGGTTTTATACATCTATCATTTTCTCTTTCAATTTTATTTTTACTTTAACCCTTTAGTTATATTTAAATTTAAAACATTTTTATGTCTTTTATAATTAAATCATTATCAATTTTAAATTTTAAAAAAATATATAGTATTTACAATGTTTTTTTTAAAATTTTTATAGCAATAACATAATATTTTTTAATATTTTATATATATCAAATAAATAACCAATGGTATTAATATTTTAGTGGCTAATAGTTTTTGGAACATTTCATATTAAAATATAATATGTGTTTAAAAAAACAACAAATTAAAGTAGAAGTTTATAGAACATGTTAGAAACATAATGATAAATGAGTTAAATTTATAAATAAAAATAACTCTAAAAAGAGGTTAATCGTTATAATAAATAAATAAATAATAATGAAAACCATTTTATTAGAACTTCTCCAACCACATAATACTAAAATAATGATTGTTTAACATAAAAATGGTGATTCAACTCCAACCAACCTCTAAATTGGTGTTTTTTAGAGGTCTTCATATTTGACATTCATATTTAGTGTTAAAAAGAAGCCAACACAAAAATGATGTTAAATTTGAAGATCGGTTGGAGGATTCTTGGCCTCCAAAACACAAAAATAGTGATTTTTGCCAGATAGTTGAAGTTGTTCTTAGTACTTAAAGTTGATGATGTAAAAAAAGTCGAGTCATAATATACATTGACTAGTGTGACAATCGTGTTGTGTTTGATTTGATGAGTTATAAACACAACTCTGACACGACCCGTATAACTAAATGTGTCAAATGGTTTATCACTAATGTGTATATGCCAAACACAGATATGACTCACCTAACTCGTTTAATTATACGAGTTTGCGAATCATAATTGTGTTCACATGTCATAAACGAGTTCGCGAGTCATAATCGTGTTCACATGTAAGAGCACGTACATAACACCTTCGTTCATTTTTAACATATTTCATACTATTTAAAGTTATTTTACATTACTTTTAATCAATAATGTTTATCTTCATAAGAATAAATTATTGGTAAAAGATCTTACATTAAACAATAGTCAATTTTGACAGCTTGGCGTCGTGAAATGTGAAAAGAATTATGATTTAGGTAAATGCATATTAAAAACATGAATGAGGACAAGAGAAAGTTTAAAACTTATGGCTTGACATGTTAAAGTGATTTGTGTGTAGGATATCCATATTTAGGGAATCGTATATTAAAAAAAAGACAAGTATTTTTTAACATGATATAACGGGTTGGTTGGTCGACCTGCATACTAACCCGAACATTGGTCGACCTGCATACTAACCCGAACATGTCCCATGAAGCATTTCAAATATCTCTCTTTGACAACTAAATAAGTTAGGGGAAAAAAATCAAATTCCATTTCTTTGATTATATCAAAATCCACACATAAGAAAACGTGTCAGAATTGAACTACTTTGATCACCACCGTGCACGTTAAAATCGTTTTTTTATTTTTGAAAAAATTACCTTGACACTTTCCTTCTATGAAAGTTCAAAAGTGAAAGTGACTTTTTATCATAACTTTGTTGTCTTGTTAATTATTATTATTATTATTATTTTCAATTGTATTTTTTGTTTTGATATTCTTACATTTAGCTATGGTTTTAAGATCAGGAATCGCACAACCAAAGAGTTACTCTATTGAACTTATATATTGTTGGGTGCTTTGCATTTACCTAAAAAAAACTATTATTGTTTGTATTATTTTCTTCATTATTGTTCAAAGACTAACTATGTGTCTCTTAAAAATTTAAAAAAATCATAATCACAATTAATATATGTTCAATACTTATTATTACAATCTTAAACTATAGTAATAATGTGTACATTAAACATGTGCACTTGCAAAATATTATCCTACCAATACTATCAGAGCGGTGTATCTTAGACATCGAGTTTTTTCTAGAGATTTTAATAATTTTTTTGTTTTTAGCTTTTATAGAAAAAGTTTTGTTCCGAGTTATGAACTTAAATCTTTAATTTTAGAAAAAAAAAACCGCATTATACAAAAGTTAATTCAAGTAGCTGAAATATATTTTTTATAACTTTTATAAGCTTGTGACTTTTAGCTTTTTTTAATTTGGAAAAATGACAGTGTAGCACATTAAAGTTTCGTTAATTGTCCGATTTGGTCAATAAAGTTATTTTTTTGCGCAATAGACCACTAAACTCGTATTTGACTTGTCAATTAAGCCATTTTCCCGATTTTTAAAGGTTGACCGATTTTCATGCTTACGTAGATACATGATGTGTCAAAAACGCATACTTGTACATCCAACGTGGGCTACTGACGTGGCGAAGACGGTCTATCGGTCCAACAAACATATTAATTGAAACCCTGATTTGGACCACATTCACTTCTTTGTTAGCCATTCGTGCAAAATCAAATCAAGAACCTTCCTTTTCTTAATCAGACCGTTGCGTTCTTCAAGATCAATGTCTTCGAGCGCGTCCACTGCAAGGAATCAGCTCCAAGGTGCTCGTCCATGTTCGACATGGTGTGCCGAAATACGATTGTGATGTTCCAGCTAAGGAATGAACCTGTTGGAAACTCACTTTAACATCCTAAAAATTTAAGACTAGGTTCTTAAATTAATAAATTAAATAATGTACGATGATTTATATATAATTAAATCATTATGGGTTAACCATATCATTAATTGATATGAAGTTTAGAAATTTAGAAGTGAAAATAACAACATTTTAAAAGTTAAAGGACCAAAGTGTCAAATTGGCAAAGTGAGTCGACCAAAGGGTTGACTCAATTAATGTAAGGGACTACAAAAGTTACATAAGGGGTGGAAAAGGACTTTTTATGTCAAAACTTAAAATAGTATCACAAGCATTGATGATTGGTGAGTTTTGACCAAAACAAGCAAACTGGGGGGGGGGGCAAATTGTAAATTTGGAGAAATAAGATGCATTTATCCCCTCATATGGAGAAAAACTTGATTGAGCCTCTTACTACCTCCTCTAATGGCGATTTTGATCTCAATAGCTTCTAGGGTTTGTTCCAAGTGAGGAATTAAGCATCCGAGCAAAGAAGAGAAGGAATCAAGGCTTCCAAGGTATAATTTCTCTTCCATTCTAACCCAGAAATTCAAATTTGTGAAGTGGGTTTGATCCAATGTCGAATTTAGCTTCTTCAAATGATTAGGGTTTGGTTTTCTAACCTCCCTTAAGTAGTTTTAATGATTTCAATCTCAATCCAATCATCTCATTGATGGATTTGAGGATTTGGATTAAAACCTTCATGAACCCTAGTAAACCCAAATTGGGGATATTTAAATTTTTGATGGAATGGGCTTGGATTCTATGACCTAGATGATGGTTGAGAGCAATAAATCCAATTGGAATGCTCAAAATCATCCATGATGGTAGAATCAAGTATAAACTTGGTTTTGGGGGATATTGTGTAACGCCTGGTTTCTGGTACGCATTTATTTATAATATTTTCATTTTAGTAGAGCTACTTGACGATTTGGGAGCCCCAGACTCGTCGAGTAGAAACGAGATTTGGATGCAGGGTTGTAAGCTATCTACTCGACGAGTTGAGACCTTCAACTCGGCGAGTAGGTCTGCCAGCATGAAACCCTAATTTCGGAGTTTTGCACCATATTTAAGCAACTTAATCCCCACCTTTTGGCCTCATTTCTAGCCTCCAAGTCCCAAACCCTAATCCACGAAACCCTAGAGCATTGTGAGAGT